ATATATATATTACCTGTAGAGGCTCATTCTTCTGCAAACATCCTAAAACAGACAAACGAAGGTGTTGGATCAGTTTTCAGTATTGTCTGCCTCCACAGTAAATGGCCCAGTGTTGCAGGAGGCAGAGAGCGGATGATGGCATTTAGCTGATTGCAGTGAGATATCACATCATCACAGACGCCGGGCCTCCGGATTTAATGTGCTGTAATTTCCTCAGCTCTAATCTATCACAGGTCAGAGTCGGAATAAAACACACAGACTCACTCAGAGGAACAAAATTATTATTATATTATTATTTTTACAGCTGGGTCCAGCTTCCTGCTCAGTTTTCTTTTTTCAAAAAGAGGTGAAGCTCATTTTGTCACAAACCCCAGTTTTTATCATAATCCTGGCAACTAATTTGCAGTTTTTAACAATGATGTGTAAAACGTAAATAAAATCAGAACACAATCATTTCCAGATCTCCTTAAACCCATATTTTATTTAAACAGGAACATGGTAAATATATTTTTGTGGCAGAGGRAAAATGGTATTTTGAATTTGATGGAATATTCAAAGAATTTTTCTAATTTCTGTTTCAGAATTATGTTCCAGAAGCTTTCATCCAACAGTCAGTTGCAGAAAGCTCCCTCAGTTGTTGGCCCTAAACCAGCTTTTTTTTTGTTTGTTTTATTATATTTATGTATTTATTTTTTGGTTTATGCGATTTSCAAACTGTTCTGGTTTTATTAACATTGTACACAACCTCCAACATTTTATTGTCCCATCATGTCCAGTCAGCAGCTACATGATGGGACGTTCACTCAGGAGTTGCTGGAGATAAAAACCAATCTTTGTTAAAGGAGAAACCTTGGATTTCATTCAGGTTTTTTGTCTTTAAGGAGCTGCACACCGCTTCAATCTGACCTTCCTCTGAGTTTCATTAGACGCTTCATGGACATTAATCAAAAAGAGTTCCTTTGAGAGCTCTTCTCATTGKGTAAAAGAAAAAATTGTCTTGTGCCAGAATCTGTGAATGGGAGTGTTTTTAACTACAAGGATGTGGTTTGGACTAGGGTTGTGTATTGGCAAGAATTTGGCGATACGATACATACAGTGGTTTGCAAAAGTATTCATACCCCTTGAACTTTTCCATATTTTGTCACATTACAAC